AGGCCACTCGGGAGGTTGCCACCCCCCCTGTGGTCGGCGACGCCGCGGGCCTGGCGCGCCAGGTAGCGGGCGCAGTCCCGAGCAATCCGCCCCCGCGGATTGAGGTAGTCTCACAGTCTCACAGCCTCCTCCCCCTCCTCCTCCTCCTCCTCCTCCTCCTCCTCCTCCTCCTCCTCCTCCTCCTCCTCCTCCTCCTCCTCCTCCCTGTCCTCTGGGCCCACGAGGTGGCCGACGCGTCTGTCGACGTGCGCCCTGTCTTCTCAGCCCCCCATGCAAAGGAGGGCGCCCTCGCGCTCGAGGCGGGAGGCGCGGCGGGGTGCGACGGTTCGCGCGGGCTCCGCTCAGTCGAGGCGCGCTGGAGGATATGCGCCTGGGGTTTCAGCGCGACCAGGGGCTCGTGGCGCGGGGCAGGGGGCCGCTCATAGGTTTCAGCCACGCGCCGAGCTCGCGGGCGCCACGGGGGCCCTGAAAGCCATAGTAGGGGACGTCGGTTTCGTCGTGGATGGCACCTGCGCTGTCCGAGTGTTCTGGGAAGGGCGGCAGCAGCAGACACAGTGCCAATGGATGCGCACAGCGTGAACTCCGGAGATTGACCGAAGGCCGTGGGGCCCGCGTGGTCAAGTTCAAATCTCACGCGTTCCTTGAGATCGAAGGCCGCCCTGGTGCCCCACGGCGACGCTGGTTAGCCAGCGGGGCGGCTGACGGGGGCGGCAGAGGAGTTGGCCCGAAAGTGCCAGGCGCCACCGAGGGAGGCCGGGCGCTTGGTCGAGGAGGACCGACGCGTCTGGCAGGGTCAAGACCACTCGCTGGCGGTGGCGCGCGAGGCGGCCCCCCGACGAGGGGCAGCGAGGATCGCCCGGGGGGAGGCTCGGCGGAGGGAGGATCAAGCAGTGGCGAAGCGTCCTGGCGTGCCTATAGGCGTTATAAGAACAGTTCGTGGTTGTCACGAAATGTTCTTAGAATACGTATGGCTGGGGTTGTCTTGTTCTGACGCATCGGGCTTGCGTTCTAAAACCATTGCTTGTATGATTCGAACATTTCCGGGTTCTAAGAACGTTTTGTGGTAGGCCTACAGGAAAGCCGGGACGGTCGGTCCGTGCTCAAGAGGAGATGCTGGCGGTGGAGGGCTGGCGGTGGAGGAGGCCATCCGCTCGCTGGCCCATCTCGCCCCTTCGAGACTGCCGCGCCACGTGCGGAAGTGCAGCGAGTGCGGGGGGCAGGCCGAGAGGGGTCGGGCGGTGGAGTGGCCTAGGGGGGCGGCTGCCCTGGAAGGCCCGCGCCCTTGCGCCAGCCTCGCCGAACTCGTTCGACAGTCCCGGAGGAGGAGGAGGAGGAGGAGGAGGAGGAGGAGGAGGAGGAGGAGGAGGAGCGGGAGAAGGAGGAGGGGGAGGAGGAAGAGGAGGAGGAGGAGGAGGAGGAGGAGCGTGGCGCGAGCTTCGTGGAGCTTGCGGGGCCTGATCTCCAACCGGGGGGCGGGCCGCGTGAAAGCTCAGAAGCCGGCCAGGGCTTGCGCGCCCCGTGCCCCGGGGGAGGGGGGGCCTCGCGGGGTGACGAGGGCCCCGGCCGCGGGAGGGCTTCCGCCGGGAGGTCGCCCCTGGCCCAACGGGCCGCGAGAGGGCTCGTGGTCATGTTGCATCGCGTTCTGTTGTTCATGCGTTCGCCGTGCCGGTTTCGAGGAGTTCGCGGCGGGCCCCAGAAAGAGGAGGAGGAGGAGGAGGAGGAGGAGGATAGTGAGGAGAAACGGTTGGGAGGAGGAGGAGGAGGAGGAGGAGGAGGAGGAGAAAAGGAGCGGGAGCAGGATGCCTTTACTGTATTCACGGCTGGGTAGTTTGTCCGAGGGCGCGTCCAGCTCCTGCATCCGCCACGGAAAATTAGCTTGCGACACTGGTGTTGACGGTCCGGGCAGCAGACGCACCACGCTCTGGACGAAGTCAGGGCGATTCTTGTTGCAAACCTCCCTCCCCCGTGCCCCCAGTGTGGGCGTTGACTTACTGTGGGCCGTGGGCGCTCAGAGGTTTCGTTCGGTGCTGCGGCGCCGACTCGCAAGCTTTGAGCTTCAGGTATGTTCGGCTAGGGTGGGGCAGGTAGGCGGTGATGTGGAGGAGGAGGAGGAGGAGGAGGAGGAGCAGGAGCAGGAGCTGGAGGAGGAGGAGGAGGAGGAGGAGGAGGAGGAAGGAAGAATATCGGCGGCGAGCGAGGGGGGGTAATGAGAAGGAAAAGGCCTTCTCAGGGGGCGGCAGGAGTCCTCAGAAGCCCTCGCGCCTGCTGAGAGGTCTCTGTTGGTCCTCGGGGAGGGCTTAGGGAAGCCTCTCGGAAGGCCGAGGGGACTTCCGAGCCTTCCGAGGAGGCCTTTGCCTTCTCGCGTCCCTTCGTGAGCAGATGCCCGTTGAAAAGATGGGCCAGTACTTAATGCGATCGTCTTGGTGTCAGTGAGATGCGGTGCCAGCTGTCGGCAATGGAGAGTCCAAACATTCGCCTCAGCCTACACCATCGGTCACCAATGGAACGTAACACGCACTGCACACGATGTATGGCGACCCAGTGGATTACGAAGATGCCGCACGCTGCTGGCGCGCAAACATGAATGCCACCATTAAACATAATGCTGCACACCTCAACGACGCGGCGTTTGTTGCTCCGCCACGGCGATGTTCAAAGGTGTGGGGGGTCAAAACATGCTCCAAGGGTAGCGATGCGTGGACGAGCAAGCTCATGTGGACAGGGATCGTGCGAACACAGTTTTTGGTCTGCGGGTCGAGAGCGGGCCTCTTCCGCTTAAGAGCTAGGCGGGGCGCGCAAAGCACTAATTGGGGAGACGGCGCGGGCGGGCGGGGCCTCAGGCGGCCGGAGGGCGCGGGGTGCAGGCGGTGCCGAGGAGCCTGCGCAGGAAAAGGTACGCCTTGGACAGGAGCCGGCGTCGCGCGAGCACAGCCGAGGTCGTAAGTCGTCGCCCCAGATGTTCGGTGGTTCGGCGATCGGGCCCTGGGGGATGGAGCATTATAGGTATGAAAGGAATTCCAGGTCGAGCTTGCATCGCTCAAGGCATACTCTTAGTGGGCCCTGGAAACGACAGGGCCATTTTTTTGCCGGTCCCGTTTTGCCGTTTGTTTGCCAGTTCCGACGCCGTTTTTTTATCGGTTCCGTCGCCGTTTTTTGACCGGTTCCGGCTCCGGTTCCAATCCTGGAGCCGTTTTTGTTGCCGTTCTTGGTCGCCGTTTTTTTGCCGTTTCCATTTTCAAGGGACATTTTTTATGGAAACGGAGAAAAACGGCCCTGCCGTTCCCGGGGCCCACAAAGGGGCATATTGTCTCAGGGCCCTTTTGTTGAAGTGCCGCCATATGCTTCGTGACGCAGTCGACGCTATTGTCCTTCCGCCAACAGCATCCCTTCCCATACAGCGTGTGACAGGTTCGGGAATTACGGCCACTGTGATTGTGGACAAGGCGTCTCATAGGATGCGGAGGAGGAGGCGAGGGAGGTGCAGGGGCGACACTTGAGAATCGGCGGCGAGCGAGGAGGCGGAGGAGGAGGCGCAGGAGGAGGAGGCGCAGGAGGAGGAGGAGGAGGAGGAGGAGGAGGAGGAGGAGGAGGAGGAGTGGCGGCGATGCCGAGGGTGCTATAAGATCTTGTGGCATTGCCTGGCGGTGCAGCAGACGACGCCGTGGCAGCGCGGGCTCCGGGGAGCCGCGAGGGTCGCAGGGGGCCAGGCGTGAGAGGGGCGGGCGGCTGGCGATGCCAACCCTCGCGGTGATCTGGACGTCCGAGATGGGCACGGAAAGAATGGGTACGATGCCCAACAGCAGTTCCTGTTCATTCTTAGCAGGACTCGCTGCCCGCGCCGCCGCGGCCTGTGCCCACTTGGGACAGAAGGCCGCCCGCCCAACAGCGGCCGCCGTGGGTTGGGGACAACATTTGCTGTGGGGCACTGCACCCATTCTTTCCGTACCCATTTCGGGCGTCCAAAGACGAGGCGGAAGGAGCCCACTTGTTTTCATTTTTCGTTCGCTCTGGGGCGAGCTCGCGCCGCTCGAGGGCGAGAGGGGCCCATGTGCTGTCACGCTGGCTCCGATTCTGGGGCGGAAGGGGCCCGCGTGCCCACGGCGTCCCTGATGCCAACGGGAGACGGCAAGCTGTTGTGCAGCAGGGCTGGACCTAAACGGTGTTTTGGCGATTTCGTGGGCCGGTTTGAATTCGGCTTCGTTCTGCGGTAGAGGTGGACTGAAGACAGAAAGGGGGAGAATGAAAACAAAACGGAAACGAAAAGCACCGCTTAGGTTCAGCCTTGTTGTGCAGGGCCGCAGCCAGGGGCGATGGTTGGGACGGCAAGCTATTGTTAAGTCGGGCCTGTCCCTCTACAGTGGGAACATTCGAGAATAGACAAAAAATAGTCGGGGGACTATGTGTTGACTATGTTTGACCATTTTGGGGAGTATGTTTAGGGTTCTTTTTTGTTTTACCTTTCGTCCAGAATCCCCCTGTAGAGGGACAGGCCCGACCTGAAGCTATTATGCCGGGCCGCAGTCAGGGGCGAATGAGCAACACAGAAAAATATGGTAACCACCATGTGTCGGCCACGCGCAGAGGGGTAGGGGGAGGGGGGAGTGCTTCTTAGAAGCACCCCTGCTTCTTAGAAAGTGCGGGCCTTGTATGTAGATATGAGGCCGGTGCCTTCTAAGAAGCAGCCTCCTTCTAAGAAGCCCTCCCCCCTCCCCCTACCCCTCTCTGCGCGCCGCCAAATGTGTGCAAGAGCAGCCACTCGAAGACCCGCAAGCAGTTCATTGGACACGGCATTGCGTGTGGACCATGATGGCAGGCTTTGACCTACGCGTTTGCACCAGGACGCAGCTGAGAAGCTGGAGAGAACGAGCACAATATCGGAGGAGGAAGAGGAGGTGGAGATGGATGAGTACGGATGATGAGGGGGAGGAGGTGGAGGATAATGATGAATGAATACTGCTGGCGATAGCGGCAACGACGGAGACGATTGCCGCAGCCCAGAGGCTCGGCGTGATCTCAGGGTTGTCGTGCTCCTCGTTCAAGGTCAAGGCCATCAGCGACGACGACAATCTCGAGATCGTCGCAGCGGCCGACGCAGCGAGGCGGGAAGTTCCGGCGACGGGCGAGTTGTAGAGGAGGATGAGGAGGATGAGGAGGAGGAGGAAGACTAGATAACGAGGACGAGTAGGACGAGGATATTGCGGGAGGACAAGGAGGTGGTCAGGGGAAGGGAGGATGAGCTGGAGGAGGTGGAAAGGGAGGGCGAGGGAGGAGGACCACAGCCTGGAGCACACATGGCGCCTCTTCGCGCGTGCTCCAGTCAGGAAACACACAGACACAATGAATGGTCGATTCCCCAGAACAGATGGGAAAACATGGGAAGTGGGGGGAAGACAAAAACCCTGGAGATACAGGAAGATACGGTAGGTTCGTGCGGCGTTGGCGCGCCAGCGACGCCGGCGAAGGCGTTCAAGGTTGAATTCTGCGACGCGGAAGCACCGAGGGACACGGTAACGCCGTTGGACTCGATCGAATTCAACCCTGAGCGATCGGGGCCGCGATCGATTCAAGGTTGAACGATCGGCGCGGTGTCAAGAACCTTTGCGCGCGCCGACGCCGCGCGAACCTGCCGTATGGCGAATCCGGTGATCTGTGCTTCTTTCTTTGCGTGTCTCAGGGCCCCTTCCTCGAATCACGCCGTCGGCCACTGACCATCTCGTCCAGTCCACGGAGTTCAAAGCGCGGGTGGGCCGCCGCGACAGAACATCCGACTTCTCTGCGGCAGGGGCAGCAGCAGCAGCACCTCCCCCCTGGCGCCCAGCGTGCCCGCGCAGGCCCGGCTCCGTGGAGGCGGCGCCCACGGCCACTCCGGAGGCGGCGTCCAGCCAGGCGCCGGCCAGGGGCGGAAGGGGAGGATGAGGAGGAGGAGGAGGAGGAGGAGGACTGGAGGCGGAGGAGGATGAGGAGGAGGAGGAGGAGGATGAGGAGGAGGAGGAAGACGAGGAGGAGGAGGAGGAGGAGGAGGAGGAGGAGGAGGAGCGGGAGCCGGGGCGCTGTCGCGGACGTGCGCATGTCTGGAGGGGCAGCTCGGAGGTGCTCGAGTCCGGGGGCGCGTCTCGGCAGCCGCGCCCCCCGCCGAGAGCCGTCCGAGGGCGCGGGGCCGGTCTGGCGCGAGCGGCGACGGTGGCGCGTCTTGCGCGGGTCAGAGCGAGGCCACACCGTCCGCGGGAGGTTGCGATCTGCGAAGCCGGCCACCACTTTTGTCAGCCCCCGGGAGGGCCAGCGCAGTCACGTCCTGCGCAGAGCAGATCGAGAGACCGCCGTCCCTGGGGGACTTGGCCCCGATCTTCGAAGTTCAGGAGGGGAAAAAACACACAGACACAATTAATCGACGATCCCCAGGAAAATATGGGAAAATATTTGGAAGTGGGTGGGAAGACAAAAACACAAGATTTATAGGAAAATATGGGGAATCTTTTTATTTGTGTGTATTTCTTTGTGTGTCCTGGGGCCCCGACCTTCGAAGTGGTTACCACTTTCGTCAGCTCCTGGGAGGGCCAGCGCAGTGACGCCCTACGCAGATCAGAGCCAGGCCTCGCCGTCCCCTGGGGGGCTGCGATCTGCGACGTTGTCGCCCCGATCGTGAGCTCTTCGGAGGGCCATTTCAGTGACGTCCTACGCAGAGCAGATCGAGACCTCGCCGTCCCTGGAGGGCTGCGATCTGCGAAATTGTCGCCATGCTCGTGAGCTCCTGGGAGGGCCAGCTCGTGTCTTGCCGCTTCCAAGTTGGACTGCAAGATTGTTGGCGTGAATGGGGGACACTTGGTCGTGGTCAAATGTTCGTTGGCGGAACGTTCAATCGGGGGGGACGCCGTTCTTCGGGGCTTCGTGGGCCGCACTGGGGCAGGCTTGGGGGTCTGCTGGGCCGCTTGGGGTCCTGGATGCTCCTGCGACCCGAGCATGCGAGAGAACGGCGAAAACCACATAACACGTGCTAGCTGCTGATCCGGAGTTCTCGAGCCGGCCCCGAGGGCCTCCGAGACGGCCGAAGAGATGCCCGCAGCACGACTCCAGCATTGCCCCCTGGAGACTGCTTTTTTAGGGTCCGGCGATAACCCGGGTTCTCGGGCTTGCCCCCCCCCCCCCCCCCCCAGGATAACTGAACCTTGCAGGTTCTGCAGGTCCGGGGTGGGGGTGCGCGGGCACATGCAGGGCTGCCCACAGCGCGAAGGTTAGGTTATCGGCCGGCCCCCTCCTCCCTCCCCCCCTGATAACCGGGGTTATCGCCGATTCAAAACAAACGGTATCCTGGGCAATCTGAAGGCGTGTTGCCAGCTCGTGTTCTCGAGAAGGCCTCCAAAAGTATTCAGGAAGTGTCACGTGGGGCACACTTGCTGCGCCCAGCGGTCCCAGCAGTTGTTCGTCCGGGGTCCTTGCGCTGAAGTCGGGCCTGTCCCTCTACAGGGGGAATATACTTCTTAGTCAAAAAATAGTCTGGGAACGTTTTTCTACAATTTGTGAACATTTTTGGAGCATTTGGGGGGTATTTGTTTGTCAAAGTCCGCCTGTAGGGGGACATGCCCGACCTAACCTTACGCCTGTCAAAACCTTCAGGATAGTCGGCTTCTGCGGCACGGTGGCAGATAAACAGTGATCTGGTGAAGCATGGCTCGTCCGTCGTTCGTGGCCAGGCCTGGTATGCTAGATGCTGGCTTGTTCGCCAGTTCCTCCAGCTTGAGCACGAGCGACGCGCATGCGCCGGGTAGTGAGGGGAAGTGGTGTCTTCATTCTTGCTGCTGCTGACCCTCATCCCACGCACGAGTTACATGTTAACACGTTCCATTCCGCATGAGGTCGACTGCCTGGCACAGGAGGACGGCGTGGAGTATGGAACCGGCGAGATCATGGCCGAGGTGGAGGTGGCCATGCTGCTGCAGCCTCCACCTTATCTACCATGACACATTATGAATACGTCTCTCCTCTCTCCCTTGACTCTGTCCAGAAGATGCCTGGCCCTCTCCGCGCAGTGGCTTCAAGCATCGGATTTCGAAAGGTAATGCTTCTCATTATAGTAACAATCCGATGGCTTCCGGAGTTTCACGATGGTGTCCCCGCTGCAGCGTGGGCCTCATTTCTGGATTGGCGCTCTGCTCCCATCATTCAGAAATGCGCCCTCGTTCCAGCGCGGCCCAACTTTCTGGATCCGAGGCTTTTCATCGCTGTCGCCCCCCTTTCCCTCCTCGGCTTCCCTGGGTCCTCCTCCTTCTCTTGCTCCTTTCGTTCCAGTTCGTGCTGTTGCTGTGCGTCCTCGTCTTCCTTCCCCTGCCCTCTTGCTCCCTTGCCCTTGTGCCTGGCTCGCTCTCCCTCCTCTCTCCCCCTGCTTGGCTTCCCCTCCCCGTCCCTCCGTCTGTCGGCCCGGTCTGTCGTTTCCTGTCGTCCCTCCTCCCTCTCCTCGGGGGCGGAAAAGAGGGGGGGATGACTAGGAGGGGGTGGATATCATGGCGTGGGCCATGATATCTTTCCAGATTTCATGGCGCCTCTCCTTATTTCATTACGTCCCTGGCCCCCCCCGCTGGGCCGCGCACATGCCGCCGGTCATGATTTGCACCCCCCCTCTTGGACACCCCCCTCTTGGCCGCTTCCGATCTCCCCCTCTCTTCCTCCCTATTCCGCTCCTCGCGCTCTGGCCCGTTGCTTTGTGCATTGCCCGGCCCGCTTTTGCTTGTCGCCCCGCCCCGTGGTCCGTATGAGAGTCGCGGGTCGCGGCGGCCCGCGCTGCCACGCTGGCGAACGTCGTCGGCCCAGGCAACTTGACCAGCTAGCCTCAGATTACAACGTTTTGGTGGCCAGACTCGCCTCGTCCTCCTTCCTCATCCTCCTTTTCCTCCTGCTCACCCGCGACCTCCTCCTCCTCCTCCTCCTCTTCCTGTGCACGCGGCTCCCTTTTCCAATCGCGCACAACACGATGGTAGGTTCGGTCGGAGTTCCACGATGGCTATGACACGAGCCCGCGGAAAGAGAAGCACAGCAGCGCAATGGGAAGAGTTGGGAGGGAGGGGTACGGTGTCAGGTGTGGCGCGAGCGCACCTGACTTGCCCCTCCGCCCCTCCAATTCCCACTCCTTCTCCTATGTGTTACATCCTTCTCCTCCGCCTCCCCCTCGCTTTCCCCTGCCCATCTCCGTCCCTCATTCTTTCTCGACTCCAGATGTTACCGCGGCTTCGCAGGAAGCTCAGCATTGGCAGGGCATGATTGGCGCTGTTGGATTGCCTCCTCCCTCCTCCTCTCCTCCTTATGAGTTTTCCTCTTGCTTCTTCTCCTCATCCCTCTTCCCCATCCTCACGCTCAATCCGCCCCTTGTTATCATTCTCGTCCTCCGCAGGAGGGCCAGCAATAGCAGGAGAAGCAGGGACAGGGACGGGAAAGGAAACATGAAGATGAGAGGGAGGTCAGCGGTATGAGCTCAGGCGCCGCCTGGTCTTGTCGATCGTATGGTGCGCTGCGGCTCAAAATCCACATGGAGTTCTGAGCTCACTGCTCGGGTTCGAGCGTCGCCGGCGGGCCAGGACGGAGTGCACGGCGCTGATGTAACACGTAGCGGTCGTACGGAGCGCGTTTCCGCACGCGTTGCCCACCTGATTCTATCATTGATCCCTGCCCATTTATAAAACCTCTTCCCCCCCCAAAAAAAAAAGAAAACAATGTGCCCCCTCCTCTCGGGACGGACGAAAGGGGGGGATGGGGAAAGGGGGGGTTACAAAATTTGCTGCATGCAGCTGATGTCGGCCCCACCGAGGGGCCCATTCCTCGATACAGAGCCGCCTCTGGCGCCGGGAGGCGCCGGGAAAATCAGCTACGTGAGCTGATTCTCAACCCCCCCTTTTGCCATCCCCCCCTTTCGCCCGGCCCGAATGACGCAGAAAGACGGGGTCCTGGGTTCCGTGCGCGGATTTTCATGAGGTTGCAATCCCAGACGTGCGACGTCCTGATTTTTTCAGGGCGGCGTCTCTGGAAGTCCCGACCCTTTCGCCCGACCCGATCCCCCCCCATCCCCATCCCCCCCCCTGCATGCTCTCCAGTGCCCTTCCCTCCTCCGCCCTCGCCTTCTCCATCGCCCTCTCCCCCTTCCCCTCCTCCCCTGCCCCCTCCCCCCTTGGCCCCCCCCCCATGCTCCTTCACTGCTCGCCCCCTCAGGGAGGAAGGCAGAGGCACGCACTCTCGCTTGTGACCCAGCATGATTCAGGAGGGAAAGAAGCACACAGACACAATTCATCGTCGACCTTCCCCGAAAATATGGGAAACTATGGGAAACGTGGGGGGAGACACAAACCCCGAAAATACATGGAACATGTGGGGGACCCTGGTTATCTGTGTCTGTGTGTGTGTGCGTGTGTCCTAGGGCCCCTTCAGTGACTGCGGACTCCAGGTGACCAGCGCTGCCCTGTGCCGCGAGGCCTGCGAGGACCGGGCGGGCGGGCGATGCTGGGCAGCGGCGGGAGCAGCAGGAGGGTGCAGGGGGAGGGGCCCGGGGAGAGACGGAGGCGGAGGCGATGGAGGCGGATGCGTACGTTGTGTGTGTGAGAGAGAACCAAAAAAAGTCGAGAGGGGAAGACAGCACTATATAAGTGTGTATGTATGTATGTATGCATGCATGCATGCATGCATGCATGCACGTATGTATGTATGTATGTATGTATGTATGTATGTATGTATGTATGTATGGATGGATGGATGGATGGATGGATGGATGGATGGATGGATGGATGGATGGATGGATGGATGGATGGATGGATGGATGAATGGATGGATGGATGGATGGATGGATGGATGGATGTATGTTAGTATGTTAGTATGTTAGGGTGTGTGTATGTGTGTATGTGTGTATGTGTGTAGGCATGTAGGTGTGTAGGTGTGTAGGTATGTAGGTATGTAGGTATGTAGGTATGTAGGTATGTATGTATGTATGTATGTATGTATGTATGTATGTATGTATGTATAGAGACATATAAATACAGGAAGAGAAAGAGAGAGAGAGAGAGGGGATAACAACAAAAAAACGGCGCGGTCTGAACGGTGTTCGTTCCAGCGACAAGGGTGCGCGCCCCTTGCTCGCTGCGCCCTTGCCGGAGCGCGAAGCGGCAGAACGGACGAACCGCGGGGGCCGTCGCCCCAAAGGCGTGCGGGACGCAGATCTCGCGGCACGATATGCAGACCGTTCGGACGCAGCCAATTTGGGGAGAAAGGGCGCAGGAGGAGGAGGAGGAAGGAGAAGGAGGAAGGAGAAGGAGGAGGAAGAAGGAGGAGGAGGAGGAGGAAGAGGAAGGAGGAGGGAGGAGGAGGAGGAGGAGAAGGGAAGGGAGAGGGGCAGGGGGAGGTGGAGAGGAGGAGGAGGAGGAGGAGGAGGACAAGCTAGGTGCACTCGCGTCACATCTGACGTTCTACCCCTCCCTCCCATCCCTTACCATGGCGTAGATCTCCCCTCTATTCGCACAGTCGTACGCCGCAGCAGGGTATAGCATTACATTGCATAGCATGGTGTTGAAGATCAACGCGTAGCGTGACGCCCCAAAGTGGGGGTGGGGCTTCTGCGGCCCAAAAAATCAACGGATCGGCACCGAATGTGCAATCACTTTCGATGGTTGCTTCGGGGGGCTATTTTCTAGTTTGGGGGTCTTATGTGGAAGGACCGAAAACCATGCCTTGGCATGGCGCTGGAAATAATGACCCCAACGCTGCAGCGGGAGCACGATTCGGAACGAGCGGAAGCGCGGAAATACGGCCAGCGCTGCAGCGGGAGCACGATTCGGAATGAGCGGAAGCGCGGATAAGAAGACAGCGCTGCAGCGGGAGCACGATTCGGAATGAGCGGAAGCCCGAAAATGAGGCCAGCGCTTCAGCGAGAGCCGCATTTTGACAAAAACAGAAGCACAAACCCAACTCGCCGACATCCTGTGTGGAAAACAACTTTCTTGGTCTGCGGGTCGGGAGCGGGCCCCTTCCGGTCAAGAGCTAAACGGGACGCGAGTAGCTCTAATTGGGGAGGCAGGGCGCGGGCGGGCAGGGCTTCAGGCGGCCAGAGGGCTCAGAGTAGCTACAGGCGGTGCCGAAGAACTTGCACAGGACAAGGTACGCCATGGACTGGAGCAGGGGGCGCGGTCCCAGAGGGAGAGTGGACTGGTGTTGCCGTCATCGGCGCGCCAAGAACACCATCCTCCTCGAGTGCTGCGTGAGGAGGGCCGCACTTCGGGCCCTGCCCGCTGCGGGCCCCCATCCCTGGCACCGGATTCGGACCGCGGCTGTCAGCTGCTCCCCCACGCCCGCCCTGCGGCCGCCCCCCTGCTGCCCCCGTCCGAACGGTCCCCCCCCCCCCCCGCCCCCCCGCGCCCCCCCTCGCCCCTCGGCCCCCTCTGCTGGGGGGCCGCCGCCGCCTGGCATCCGCCCCCCCGTCCCGCCCCTGACCTCTGCCCCCCCACGTTCTCCATTGCATTTGACATTCAGCCCGCGGCCGTTAGCTGCGCCCTCCTCCTCCTCTGCGCCGCGTCGCCGACCCCCCCCGGCTGCCCCCCGTCCGCCCCCAGCCCCCGCCCCCACGCGCCCCCCGTCGTCGGCCCCCACCGCGGCTGCTGCCCCCCGGGCTCTTCACTGACTTTGCGGCTGTTGATCTGCATCCCCCACCCCGCCCGCCGTCCGCCCTTTCGCCCCCGCCCGCCGTCCGCCCTCTTCGCCTCATGGGCCCAGGCTTTCGCAGCGGTCAGTCGCTTCCCTGGCCCGTCCAGGTCCGCCGCTCCTCCTGCGGTTGCCCCCCCGCAGGTGGTGCCCGGACCCGCCCGCTGATCCCGGGCTCTTGCGGCGGTCAGCCGCCTTCCTGGCCCGCCTGCCCCGCCCCTCCCCCGCGGCTGTCCACCCGCAGGAGGTGCCCGGGCCCACCCGCTGTTTTACTAGTGGTGCGGCTGTTAGCTGGGTCCGCCACCCGCAGTGCGACCGTGGCCCTCGGCGCCCCCCTGGGGCGTTGGGGCCGGTGCCAGCAGATGCCCTGATGAACTTCCTGGACCGTCCGGCCCGCCCTTCCTCCTGCGGCCGCCCCCCTGCAGGAGGTGCTCGGGCCCGCCTGCTGTTTTCCTTATTTCTGCGGCTGTTAGCTGCGTCCTCCACCCACGGCGCGACCGTGGCCTCGGCGTCCCCCCTGGGGCGGTGGAGCCGGCGCCAGCACACACCAGGCCGCCCCCACCCCCTGCGGCTGTCCTCCCGCAGGAGGTGCAGAGGTCCACCCACAGTGCAACCGTGGCCTCGGCACCCGTCGCTCTACGCCGGTTCCGCTCGGGGGCCATGGTTCGTGGTGCGCCGCCTGTTCGGGCAGAACGCCTCGCCGAGCGGGAGTCTTCCGGATGCAGGATCTCATCGTTTGTTGGTACTTCCTCAACGGCCTACTCGCCCACGAGGTGCGGTTACGCGGCATCGTCCCTGAGAGCTGCGGCGGGGCGGTAGTCTCACACTCGACACCAGCAGACCTGTCGCCGAGAAGAGGTTCGTCGAAGGTGACGCTATCGCAATGTGGGCGCCATCGAACCCACCGCCAGTGGGGCCCAGGTGTTTTCGCCTTCTGAGCGGCGGTTGAGCCTCGCTGCGTAGCTTGCATGCTTCCGCCGCTCGTTAGTTGCACACGTTCGGTCCCGTTTTTGGCAGTTGTAATTCAGGTCTTTGCTACCTGGCATCTTCCTGACGGCGCGCGGCTCTCCCGCTTGCGCTCGCGAGCGGAAAGTATCCCCGCCAGCCCACCCAGAAACGATCCCCAAGCAACGAGTATCGCGAGAAGGGGTAGAGCACCACCCTGGAAACGGAAAGGGAGGTTTCCTCGCCCCTGCTCCGCCCCCGGTTTTATTCATGCTCTCTATGCATGTGTCTCCGTCTCTCCTTTTCTTGTGCAGCATGCTCTCGACCCTTGCCCATCTGTCTCCTTCTGTCCCGTTCGAGCCCCAGGGCGTGCACAATGCAGCATACGTTGCGCATGTTGCTGGCCTTCGCGGCATAACCATGGTTCGTGCACGCGTTGCCTCCGCACGCACATAACACATGCAAGGTATACGCACAGCAATCATCAGCCAGGCCCAGGCACATGTATCACGACGTGGGTACATGGTTCCACTGTATCCAGGTGCGACATACGTTACGTATGGGAGAGAGTTCATGGTGAAAGGTCGAACGCGAGTGTCGGCACATGGGGAAAAAACACATCCAAGGGAAAAGCGGTGGGGGAGGAGCAGGCAGGAGGAGAAGGAGGAAGAGGAGGAAGAGGAGGAGGAGGAGGAGGAGGAGGAGGAGGAGGAGGAAGAGGAGGAGGAGGAGGAGGAGGAGGCTGAGGAGGCCGAGGAAGACAAGGAGAGGCAGGAGTTGGCGGAGGGGCGGGAGAGGGGGGAGAGAGACCAGGGGCAGGGAGCACGAAAGGGGGTGGGCAGGGCAGCAGGCGCGCGGGCGCGGGGACCTGGCTCCGCGCGCGCTCCGCGCGCCCCCCGAGGACTTCATGGGCTGCGGCGCGTGGACGTGGGGCTCCGTCCGAGGCCTGCCGGGGCTGACGGAGCGCCGCCGCCCCGGGCTGGCCGGCGGAGCCGTGCACGGCGTCGGCGGGGGCGCCCCAGGCCCCAGGGCGAGTCGAGTCGAGCATGGGGTCGAGCGCAGCTCAGAACGTGAGTTACCTACCCCGCTTCCGCTTCCAGGCAAGACCAAGTCATGCCACGCGCCTCCTCGTCAAGCGGCCTGACCAGTACAGGCCGTAGTTTGGCATCGCTTGGTATCTCTTGGAAGCGAGGGTGGTCAAAAGCGAGGTAGGTTTGTTTGCCCCCTAACAGCAGGGCGTCGAGCGCGGGCGGGCCCCAGGGCGAGTCGAGCGGGGGATCGAGCACAGACTGGATCCTGCGTCCGGACTGGCTCGCCGTCGAGTCTTCGGACCACGCGCGGGGTGTTCCCGCAGATCCGCGGGAGGCTTCCCCGAGAGCGACCCAAAGAGTGGTCGCCAGTGGCTCTCCTGGGGTCGGCCTGCGGCCAACGGGCACTGCTAGGCAAGGGTGCTTCCGAGCCGTCGTTCTCGGCAGGCCCTCGCGGCGGGGGACCCTCGTTGCCGAGACCTCGTCGCAGCGCGGAAAGCTTACCAGGACGATGCCCACGAGTAATCCAGGGTCAGATTCGGTTCGGAGTCCATACGGAAGGAGGAAGATTCGCTCACATGTGGCCCTGTCACTGCACCATCGCGGCATTGGTTGATAATGGTTTCAAGGAGTGGACGTCACACGTGTAAGTCACAGAGGTTGTTAGTAGTTGCTCGGGGGTGGATAGACCTCCTACCCTCACATGTCGATTAGTGAATTGGCCGTTCTCGGTTCGCTAGAGGGCGTCACGGCCGTCATTTTGCGGGTCCAGGTCCGTTGGTTTCGGTCCTGGGCCATTTTCATTAAAGGGAGGTCTACTAAAGGGAGGTTTGTCCACCGCCGAGTTGCCCGTCCTTGCCTTCAGAGTTTTGCTTCGGAGTGTCCCCAGTGCGCAGTTCTGCTTCAGCTCAATAAGTCTCCTGCACGGCCAAACACACACACACACACAGATACACACATTGCAGGGTGTTAGCATGTAAACCGAAATATGGGTTGTCAGTGGGACATGCGATACCGTGTGGAGGCCCCTGGAAGAGAGGGACAATCTTCTAGAGGATATGATTTTCAATGAGAGGTTGCTTAAACTTTAAAGGATGGGCTATATAAAATTGCCTGGGCTGGAGTTCCCAGGCAAGAAACTCATTGAGGTAATTTCTCAGGAGAGGGGCTCCAGGAAACACTTTCTGATGATTGTGCCGGGAAGCTCTTTTGAAAGCAATCTTCGCGGCCGTAATAATATTCAGTTTCCGAGGGTGCTTCGCGGGTCCGGTCGCATTCAGATTGCGGGGATTTTCTGAAGCAGCACATGTCTTCTGACACGAGTAGTCAGGCCGCGTTGCAGAACCCCATGGTCGCCGCGATGCAGCAAGCAGTACCTTCAAGCCACCCAAGAGGGGGGGTGCACAATTCGTGTTGTTTACGGGCCCGCTCGCACTCAGATTGCGGGGCCATCTCGGGCGACACGCCCGCTCTGGCCTAGTGGCCGAGTCTCTCTTTCCTCGGCCCCACGATCACCGCGATGCAGCAGGCGTTGCAATTCAGCCACTCGGACGGGTGTCGACTAGGGGTATCTCATTGGATCGTTCTCAATTAGACTGTGGGGACCTCAGGCGACATGCATGCTGCTTGGGCACAGTAGCCGAGTCCCTCTGTCAGAGCCCATATGACCACGGGGCCTTCTCAGGCGAAGCATTTGTTTTGCCAGAGTTGGCGAGTCTCGGTTCAGAGCCTCATGAACACCGCGATGCAGCAATCGTTGAATTTGGGTTTCCCAGTGGGGAGGCGCTCGGTGGTATGGCAAAGGCCCGTTCGCGCCCAGATTGGAGACTCTCAGGCCCTTCGCAAGCGCTTAGAATTCTTTACACATCGATCCTGTCAAATTCAAGACCACACTGATGGACCAGAGCAGCTCATACTCGCGCACCCACACTCCAGCTCACTCGCACCCGCACCCATTTACATGATATGAATGGGCATTGATGTGAATCACATCCAGGCGTTCACACGCTGAGTCGCTTGCACGCAGCCACTCGAAGTAAGACTCGCTCAAACTCATACTAGCTTTTTCTCAGACGCTCAGAGCAGGACGATCTAGAGCACATGTTCACACCATCATGGGGATACCCGCGTCGAATGTTTTCCCTCGCCCTCCTCTCTCCGCATCCCCCCCGTGCCCCTTTTGCCGCGCCTGCCCCTGTCCCACTGAGGCCTCGGCTCGGCGAACACTGATCGGAGAGAGGGGGCGGGGAAGTGGGGAAGGGCCCAAGATGCTCCGAGACGCCCCCTAAGAGACCTCCGAGACGGCCCAAGAGGCCGCCAAGAGGTCCTCCAGGAAGGCCCGAAGATGCCAAAATCAGTGATGTGCCTTCGGTTCTTGAAGGACTTTGGTTTGGCGTCTGCTTCTTTTCGGCCTTTCGACGGCCCGAGACGGCCCAAGAGCCCCCTAAAGATCGCCCCCAGGATCGCCCAAGAGGCCCCCAAGACGACCCCAATAGGGCCTGAGGGGGGGGGGATGAGGGCACAGGGCCGAGGGCGGGGAGGCAGGCAGGGCGCGGGGCGCGGGCAGGGGACGGAGGAGGAGGAGGAGAAGGAGGAGGAGGAGGAGAAGGAGGAGGAGGAGGAGGAGGAGGAGGGGGAGGAGAGGGGGAGGAGGCGGAGGGGGAGGAGGCAGAGGCGGAGGAGGGCGAGGAGTAGAGGAGGAAAGGATGAGGAGGAGGGGATGGAGGAGGGCGGAGGGAGGAGAAAAGGGAGGAGGACGAGGAGGAGGAGGCCGAGGAGGAGAAGGAGGACGGAGGGACAGGGGAGGAGGAGAAGGAGGAGGAGGAGGAGGAGAGGAGGCGGAGGGGAAGGAGGAGGAGAGGAGGAGGGAGGATGGTGAGGAGGAGGAGGGGGACGAGGCGGGGAGGATGAAGGAAGGAGGAGGAGGAGGGTGGTGGTGACGAGAGGAGGAGGCGAGGAAGTAGGAGGAGGAGGAGAGGAGGGGAGGAGAAGGAGGAGGAGGAGGAGGCGGGGGAGGAGGAGGAGGAGGAGGGAGGAGGAGGAGTAGGAGGAGGAGGAGAGGGGAAGGAGAGTAGGAGGAGGAGGAGGAGGCGGGAGGGAGGGAGGGAGGGAGTGAGGGAGGGAGGGAGGGAAGGGAGGGAGGGAGGGAGGGAGGGAGGGAGGCGGGTGAGGAAGGCGGGGAGGAAGGGAGGGAGTGAAGCAAGGAGGTGCGGAGGGGGGAGGGAGGTAGGGAGGGCCGGAGGGACGGAGGGAGGGCACAGTTGAGGGGGGGAGGGATGGAGGCAATGAGGGGAGGTCTGGAGGGGAGGGAGGGGAGGGAGGATGATAGGAGGGGGAGGTGGAGGTGGGAGGTGGAGGAGGAGGAGGAGGAGGAAGGAGGATGAAGAGGAGGAGGGCTGCAGGCAGAGAACGAGGCAGGGCAGGGCAGAGGGCGGGTCGCGGAGCGCAGGACATGTGCTTCGTCAAGGGCGCCGTGGACGCCGCGCGGGCGGGCCGTGTGCGCCACGGCGTGGTCTCCGGGTGGGCGGTGGCCGTTGCCTCACGGCAATGAAAACGCCCAGGGGGCAGGGCGGGAAGGAGGGCGGGAAGCGAAAGTTCTTTCCATTCTCTTCTCTCTCCTCTCCTCCTCTTCCTCCTCCTCCTCCTCCTCCTCCTCCTCCCTTCCCTCCCTCCCTCCCTCCCTCCCTCCCTCCCTCACCCCCCACCCTTCTACCCCCCTTCTTCCTCCTCCCTACTCTTCCTCTCCAATCCAATACCCCCCTACCTCCTTCCCCGCTCTCCTCTTTCCTCACTACTCCCTTCCACTCCTCCTCCTCCGCCCCTCCTCCTCCCTCTCCTCCTCCTCTCCTCCTCCTCCTCCTCCTCCGTTCCTCCTCTCCTCCTCCTTTCCTCCCCCCCCTTCCCCCTCCTCGTCCCCCTTCCAACTTATCCCCCTCCCTTCCCCCTTCACTCGACCCCTGAACCCCTCCTCCTCTTCCCTCCCTGCCTGCTCCGCCTCCTCCTCCTGCTCCTCTCCTCCTCCTACCTCGTCGATCCTCCCTGCGTCCTCTCCTCCTCTTTCGGTCCTCAGTCCTCACTCTCTCCTCTTCCTCTCCTCCTCCTCCTCCTCCTCCTCTCTCCTCCTTAATCCCCTTATCCTCCCTCCTCCTCCTCCTCCTCCCTCCTCCTCCTCCTCCTCGGCCCTCGCTCACTCCTCCTGCCTCCTCCTCCTCCTCCTCCTTTCCTCCTCCTCCTCCTCCCTCCTCCCAAAAAAAAGATCCGCCTCCTCCTCCTCCTCCTCTCCTCCTCCTCTCCCTTCCTCCTCCTCCTCCTTCCTCCTCCTCCTCTCCTCCTCCCCCCCCCCCCCCCGCCTCACTCCTCCTCCTCCCCTCCTTCCCATCCCTCCCTCCTCCCTCCCTCCGCTCCCTCCCTCCCTCCTCCCTCCTCCCTCCCTCCCTCCCCCCCCCCTCCCCTCCTCCCTCCTCCTCCTCCTCCTCCTCCTCCTCTCCTCGTCCTCCTCCTCCTCCTCCTCCTCCTCCTCCTTCTCCTCCTCCTCCTCCTCCTCCTCCTCCTCCTCCTCCTCCTCCTCCTCCTCCTCTCCCTCCTCCCTCCTCCCTCCTCCCTCCTCCCTCCTCAGCCTCCTCAGCCTCCTCCCTCCTCCTCCTCCTCATCCACCTCCCACCATGCCAGCTGTTCTTCGTGCACCGACGGGTTGCACTGCATGGCGCTTGCCGATCTTCAGCGTGCACCCGCCTCGTGGCTGGCGTTGGGACCTCGTCTGCAAGTTTGTCACGCGTTGGCCACCCACGAGCATGCTCAAGGTCGGGGGGGAGAGTCATTCATAATTCGTATCAGGCTTGATCCTTCATGTTTCGACCCCCACCTCGTCGAGGCCACGGCGCGGTGTGGATGATGGCGTAAGTCCTTCGGTGTCGTCGGTGATTGCAACAGGCCTGGTCAGCATGCTGCAGGGAGCAGCGAGGCGAGGCCTGGTTGCGTTGGTGGGCACGTGAGGCAGACCGCCTCTTCGCTGCAGCGCTGAATCGGTGTCACCCCAACATGCTTCTACTGTGTGTGCGTCGCCCCCGTTGGGGCGACGCGCGCTCTCGTGGCGGGCGCCTGCTGGCCACACCGCTCGGGAAACGAAGTACTACAAGATGGGCATGCTACCTGTTCGGGTCGGACGCTTGCCTCCAAGGAGGACATATAGTACCAGTACGTCTTTGTGCATCCCATGGAGGGGCATCGTCGATGGTTCTGCCAGTGCGGCGGAGTTGGCCAGGGAGGCTCAGAGTTCCCTGTGGGGACCAGGGGAGCGGGTTGAATCGGCAGGCCGTTGCATCTGCAAGCTCTGCCGACATCAACCACTGTGCACAACATGTTCTTTTGCCGCGGGATTGAGCCGGGAACTTCGACAAACTCCGGGGAACATCGCTAGGAAAGTTCACGGTTGCAGTCTTTCTTCCGATCGCCTCATTTGTTCATCGTCGCCCTCGGGTCCATATCTGCGCCAGGCTTGCCGAGTGAGATTGCAGGCCACGGGGAAGGGACACGAGCGTTCACGATCCCAGGTGTAGGATGGGGCAGGGGGGGGGCGAAGGAGGAGGAGGAGGCGGAAGAGGAGGAGGAGGAGGAGGAGGA